ATCCACTGAGCCAAACCGGTTTCCGCACTGTTTCTTTCTTATGGGGCGGGGCCACAACATTAGTAACAAAGAAACAGAATTTCCTGAGGATGAGGCCCAGAAATCAGGATTTTAAAAAGATTCCCCGGTGATTCTAATGTGCAGCCAAGGTTGAGAACCACTGCTGTACAGCAAAAGGGTTTAGATTAGCAAAGGAGGGAAAGGCGTGTAGGAAACTGCAGATGACGAAGGGCATAAAGGAAAAGAGAGGAGGCCAATAATAAGGACCAGGGAAGGGGAGGGACTGGGGAGATTCTGAGATGAAGCAGCAGCTGCAGAGCTTTAAATCCACCTAAATCCCCACATAAAAACAAGCAACCAGATAGCAGAGACAAAAATGCACAGTTGTTGCTCAGTGATTTGAGCATTGACCTATGAACCAGATCACGGTTCGATTCCAGGTCAGGGCACATGCCTGGGTTGTGGGCTCAATCCCCAGTGAGGGGCGTACAGGAGGCCGCCAATCAATGATTCTCTCTCATCACTGATGGTTCTATCTCTCCCTCTTTCTTTATCCCTGAAATCAATAAAAATATCTTTTTTTAAACAAGATGGTTCTGATAAAAGTTTATGTAGGGCCCTGGCCGGGTTTGGCTCAGTGGATAGAGCGTCAGCCTGCGGACTGAAGGGTCCTGGGTTGGATTCCCGTCAAGGGCACATGCCTGGGTTGTGGGCTCGATCCCCACTAGGGGGCATGCAGGAGGCGGCCGATTCATGATTCTCTCTCATCAATAATGTTTCTATCTCTCTCCCTCTCTGAAATCAATAAAAAAATATATTTTTTTTAAAAAAAGGAAGTATGTGTCTATCATTTAAAAAAAACCACAAACGTTTGTGTGGGGCCCAGAACCCAGAAACTTCAGGCAGCCACTGCCGTGTTGTTGAGCACTGCACCAACACGACACCAGAGGGAGCCCGGGAAAGTTAGAAAGGCCACCCTGAACCGCACTTCATTCTGCAAGTTAGCAAAGAGGCAGGACAGGAAGTGGGTTAGACAATAGGGAAGGAAGGAGTTGGCTCTGGCTTGGATGAGGCTCTGAATCCGGTCTGACTGCTGACACGCCCTGCCTCACCTGGTCACTGGTTGTGAGGCAAGACAAGTAAGGCAGAATCTCCAGAACAGGAATATGGTGAAACTTGCGGTAATTGCGGCGGATGTACTCGAAAGTCTTCTCCTCGGCCAACGTCATCACTCTCCAGCTCTGCAGGACGAGGGCTCTAACTCGATGGGACTGAGAGCGAGGAAAAGACTGGAAGAAAGCAGACCACACATGACAGCAGGAGTGCAAGCGGAGTTGGGAAAAGGCAATTCTTTCTTTCTCAACACTGCAGTTCTGGCCTTTTCTCTTTAATTACCCTATTTTATTGTTGCCTGAGTCTCAGAGGCCTTCAAGGAATTTGCTTAAAAACAAATTGATGACCACAAACATCGGAGCCAGAAGATCGAGGGTCCCTCTCTGCCCTGCAAGTTGGTCAGTGTGGGTAAGGGTCTGGTTCCTCGCCATTGTCCCCAAGTCTGTGTGTGCCCCTAGCTGCTAACTGCACGAGGGCTCCAACTAGACGTGCTGCTGCTTTGAAGTGCACTGAGAAGAAATGAAGCAGCAGCCCAACATGATAATAACAGGACCCATCCTACCCGAAAGGTAAAGAAAATTAAGTATTAAGAAAAGAAGGGGGCTTGCTAGTTAGTGGAAGAGCAAAGGGTGAGGTTCTTCCCAGAACATGACTGCAGGCCTACCATTTACAGCTTGCTACATACATGTTCTTAGGGTAGAAGGCTGAGTTCCACTTCCCTGAACTCACTGTTGACCTGGGGCAAGTTACCAGTCTTTTCCAGGCCTATCCTCACCCCTAAAACGGCTCAGAGAGCTTGTTCTGATAACACAGTAGTTCTGCCTTGTAAGCTTGAGGTCTCAAATACAAGCAATTACTGCCAGTCCCTTATGTAGCACTTAACACAATTTGCAATTATAGATGCATTTGTTTGATCGTTTCTTATTTGCCCCCCCCCGGGGAGACATGCAGGGAATGCATTTCTCTACCATCATCCAATTTATATTTTATTTTGTGGGACAGATAACAAATCCGTAAGTGCACATATAAATAAGAATCCCGGGTGGTAATAAAGGTCACAAAGAAAACAAAGCAGGGCCCTGAGACAGAGCCGATGCAGAAGGTACGCTGCTTGAACCGGGACCGTCCGAGAGGCATTTCGGAATTGGCCACATTTGAGCTGAGCTCCTTCCTGGCTGTGAGATTGGTGTTGCTGAGCGAAGGCACAGCAAGTGAGAAGTCCTAACGGGGGAGCGAGCTTGGCGTGTTTGAAGAAGAGAAAGCAGGTCCAGGTAGTCCAGGTTTAGAAAGCTAGGGGAGGGGCAGAGGTCAGGGTCAAGAAGGGCCGCGTGTATATATAGCGTTATAGGAAAAATGTTGGGCTTTATGTGGAGTGAAACAGGGAGCCGCTGGAGGGTTCTGAGCAGGGAAGGGAGAGCATTTGGTTTATGTTAAAGACCTCTCTGGCGGTTGTGAGGGCCTTGGACTGCGGAGGGGCCAGGATGGAAGCACGGAAACAAGTCACAGCAGGGGACAAACAGATGATGGGTCTGGCTAAGATGGTAACCATGGAGGTGGCAAGAGAAGGCTGGATTCCTGGTGTTTTGTGGCCTTGGGAGGTGAGGAGAGAAGAGTCAGGATGACTTCTTGGGTGCTGGGTGGATGGATGGTGCATTAAGCCAGCCAGGGATATCAGGGATAGGAGCAGCGACAGGGCTTCCCAAGCTCCATTTTGAACAAGTAAAGCTTGAGATCCTAGTGGATGTCCAGATGGGTTTTCAGGGGGGGGGCGGGGCCGAGGAGAAGGCCAGGCCTGAGTGAGACCACCAGGAGACAGTGCTGCACAGCGGAGAGTGTTCAAAAGCTGCTGAGGCCACCAGTCTCTCACACAGGAAACAGGACAGCAGTCCAGTCTATCGGCCTCCCCACCTCACATTGCATGACTGGCTTTGCCAACCAGGTGGTACATTCCTGGTGGGGCCAGTGCTAATGAAAGAGGTCAAGAGGATCACAGAGGTGGGGCAGGGGTCCTTGGAGACTTCAAGAGATAAGCAACGAACAACTCCGTGGGAGTTCATAGACCCTTTTCTCCTTCCCTCCATGGCATCCAGAGAGGTACCAGGCGTCAGGTGATACATTCTTCTGCATTGTAGCCTCAGCCCTTAAGACTCAGAGTTTGGGGGGTATGGGTTTATATGTATAGTTCCACTAAAAAGAAAGGAAGTCCAAATATACTGACAGCTGTGAGAGGGGCAGGGGTTGTGGAGCTGGGTGGAAAAAGGTGAAGGGATTAAGCAAAAAAGAAAAAAAAAACCACTCACCTCATAGACACAGATAACAGTATGGTGATTACCAGAGGGAAGGGGGGGAAAGAGGAGCAGGGGAGGGGGGAGGTAGTGGCGAGGGGAGATAGAGGGAAGTATAGGGGGAATAAATGGTGATGGAAGGAGAGTTGACTTGGGTGGTGAACACACAATACAATATACAGATGATGTATCATAGTATTATGCACCTGAAACCTATATGGTTTTATTCATCAATATCACCCCAATAAATTCAATAAAGAAGAAAAAATAAAGGATTATGGAACAAAGCCAGAATAATTTTTAAACATTAAAAAGACTAATATTGGCCCTGGATGGTGTGGCTCAATGACTAGAGCCTCAGCCTGCGGACTGAAGGGTCCTGGGTTGGATTCCGGTCAAGGGCACATGCCGAAGTTGTGGGCTGGATCTCCAGTAGGGGGCGTGCAGGAGGCAGTCAATCAATGATTCTCATCATTCACGTTTTTCTCTCTCCCTCTTACAGACAGACAACAGTATGGTGATTACCAGAGGTTTCCCGCGGAGGCAGGAGCTGAACAGTACAGATAAGAAGAGAACTGTACAAGAATCAGACATTCATGATAAAAGTGTCACTAAATAGTGATTAAATTGTTTAGAAGGCATTATTCATAAAACTAGCTTCCTATGAGAAAATAATATCAGATCCTAATTTTACACAATGGATAACAGAAAACTCCAAACGAATTAAAGTCCTAAATATAAAGGGTAAATCATAAAGAAAAGAGTAAGTGCAGAGAAACATTTTTTAAAGAACTTCTAACAAAATATCTGAGATCTTAAGCATGGCTCTGTGTTCATTCCCAAATATTTCAAATAAGAAATTAAGCAAAAAAAGATAAAAAGAAACAAAGTCCTTATGTATTCACATTTATTGAGGACCCACTACAGGCAGGCATATCCTAAATATCTTTCATTTAATCCTTGCCACAATGCCATGTAAGAAGTGATGTCAATGCCGAAACCGGTTTGGCTCAGTGGATAGAGCGTCGGCCTGCGGACTGAAGGGTCCCGGGTTCGATTCCGGTCAAGGGCATGTACCTGGGTTGCGGGCACATCCCCAGTGGGGGGTATGCAGGAGGCAGCTGATTGATGTTTCTCTCTCGTTGATGTTTCTAACTCTCTATCCCTCTCCTTACCTCTCTGTAAAAAAATCAGTAAAATATTTTTTTTAAAAAAAGAAGTGATGTCAAATTACACATTTGACCAGCGGCCCTGACAGATTTGAACCTAGGACTTACTGCCTCACTGCGTTCACCGTACACCCTGCAGGGATAGAGGCCCTGCGGCAAGTGAGGCTACAGTCCCCGTCTTCAATTTCAGGGAGGGGCCAAGGTCACCGGCCTGTGGGGGGGTTGTGTAGGAGGGGAGTCGCTAGGTGCGGTGCGCCGCGCCGGGGAGGATGCAACATTTAGTCCGCCACGCGGTTCTCAGGTCGCTGACTCTCCTTCCAGATGTCTTTGAGGCTCCACTGCATTACCCGGAGAACGCTGTTTTTGGGGTGTTTTGTCTTGTGGGGGATTTTGCTTTTTTTCTCAATGTTTTCCTGGTACATCCCGATGGTTTCCGGTGTCCGACCCCACCGCCCTGGGGCTGAGCGCGCTGCAGAAATGTCCCCTCGCCGGGAGGGGTGAGCCGCCCCGCCTCGGCTCCGATGCCCAGATTCCTGGGCCAGACCCCAGCTCACGGGGCGGGAGGCTCGCTCTTCCAGGAGGTGTCACCCCGAAAACTGTCAAGTCTCGGAGGAGGGCGGTAACTCGCGTCGGTAAATCCGGAGCAGGCCCCGCCCGGGGGTCACCCTGAGCCTGCGG